CACCTATACTCGCATCAGTTAGCACCAGCATTCACACCCAGAAGGGTTCTGGGTGCTTTCGCGCCTTGAAGTCACATTCCGCCCACTGCTCCACCCATTGACTGATCTTATTGAGTGTGCAAGCAGCGAGAGCATGTAATCAGATATGGAGTTAATAAGAGAGAAAACGAAGAGAAATGAAGAACGAAGATTTTATCTCATTGGTGAATCAAACTGGTATACTCATTTTGATGTACTGTGTAGTAGCAATGACTGTACATATGGTGCTCGGCAACACTTTCACATGATAGCATGAACTGTGAAGGAGTTCTAATATTAGGTTGAACCGAAAGTTCTGTCGCATCATTTCCAATAAATAATAGCTTCTTTCTTTCACAATGATTTTGCGCAATTCGAATTTTATCAGGAAGCGTTAAAGCATGTAGTTTCCAAAAATCCCCTGGGGATTTTCCAACATGGTCAGGTTGCAGAGATAGAAATGAAAGAACGAGATCATCCGAAATTCGGAATTTTCAAGCAAAAATTATAAAATTCTAGAAAGTGTGCGATAAAATCCAGAACAGCTGTCATCGTAAGTTTTCTTATATTTTATTACTAATTGAGTCAAGTTTGTGCAGATCCAGCTCTTTTTTCAACGGTTTTAATTTTTCAAAAAAATGCCGAAAAATTAATCCTAAGAATTCTCAAGAAATTGTTTTTTCGGTATTTTTTTCTCAAAAATCATAACTTTTGGAAGAAGACCTCGATCAGCACAAACTTGACTAAACTTACAATGACAGCTGTTCTGGATTTTATCGCACGGTTTCTAGATTTTTAGAATTTTTGCTTAAAAATTCCGAATTTCGGATGATCTCGTTCTTTCATTTTTATCTTTGCAACTTGACCACGTTGGCAAGTCCCCAGAGGACTTTTGGAAACTACATGCTTTACGCTTCCTGATAAAATTCGAATTGCGCAAAATCATTGTGAAGGAAAGAAGCTATTATTTTTTGGAAATGGTGCGACAAAACTTTCGATTCAACCTAATACAAACGTTTGAGGACTACTAAGAAAGGAATCAAGTTTAGCAAAAACGTAGCTTTTGACCTGGAAAGGTTTAGTTCATGAATTGTCCTTTGTGTCAGTCACATGAGTTTTCCAAAAAAAATCCTACTCGAATTTTATAACGATACTAGCTTGCTTACCCGACTCCGCTCGGCCCTGTCAAAACACTGTAATAAAGGCCCCATCCCTATCCCTGTGCAGCCTTTTCCTGTGCCCACTTCTACACTTCATTTCCTGTTCCCTGTACTGTCTTCGAAATCAGCATGCCCACTTACCGCCCCCCCCCTGTGCCAACTCTCAGCCCTTCAGCTCAACTTTTGAAAAATTCGATAAAATCGATAAAAGTAATAGGTAATACCAAAAACTAATACTGTATTCGGAATCATGCTCACTTACCCCTCTGTGCCAACTCCCACTCCCGTAGGTGAACTCTGCAAAAAAATCGATAAAAATCGGTATCGATCGATGACGAAAAGTAGCTATGTCACGCTCCTGGCCCCGAAGTGTATGTGTGCCAAGTTTGGCCCAAATCGGCTCAGAAATGAGAATTTTTATTTTGCGCATACGTACAGACAGACAGACAAACGACATTCAACTTTATATATAAGTTTAGATATACAATCTCCATTCTGTTATATCGGGCTATTTCACTACGAACTGTTAATTAGTTGTATGTACAGGATTTGGATATCACGTCAAACCATTTTTAATTTTTTTTTAAAGACTTTAGCACATTTCTGTGTCTCAACGTGCCATTATTTCGGTTCTCACTCATTCAACTATAAGTGATTGATTAGATCAGACCGTTAAAACCATTACAATCACATCAAAATTCCAATATCATTTAAAGGTATAAAGTCCCGATATCAGTATGCTGATTGAAAAATTTGCTTAAGCCCCTAAATAGGATAAAGGATAAAGAATTTGGCGTCCTCAATACCCCCTCTGCGGGCATGCACCGAACGCACACAACTTCCCAATCGAAGAGACAATTGTATGCGTGCAAGCCCATTACAGTGACTTGAGGGGGCCAGCCGTTTTCAAGTCAATGCTTTTATCCTCCCAGATTACTCTGGTACCAATTTACCGGCCCCGGAGGGTAGAGGGCTTGGTTGGCCCAGGGGCGGGCATCGAACCTGTGTGAAATCTTGTCATAGCGGGGCCTCAAACGCTATGCCACTCGTTCCTTCAGCTCCAAAATATGATAATCTATTTGCAAAATATTGTTGAGTAACTAAATGCAAAAATAATAAGCGGTATCACCTTGTGACAGTTCTCTTTTATGTTTTGTAATCAACCGCCAACTTCCTTGATTGAATGGCTCAAAAATTCAAGAGTTTAGCTTCCGAAATCTACCCCTAAGGATGAAACCAAGAATTCAGAATCTCGATTTCAATTCCACTATATCACCTTTCACTATCCGTATACAATTCGAAATGAGCCAACTTGGAGGGTGGAGCAAGAGGCGGAGCTACCCTAACCCTTTGAAGATGTGAAGTCCCTCCAAGTTCGTTGAAGGTGCTAACAAGGGAAGGATACTTAATCGCAGTGACGGTTGGGTAAGCGGTGTATGCCGCGTATACCGTCCCTAGACGGTGATCTCTAAATCGCATTCCATATCTGCTATGACGTCATTCTGGAGGAGTAATAAAGGATTTTTGGTGCAGTGGATAGTGGCTTGGTGCGGAGCTGGAGTCGTGGGTTCGATTCCCCTGGGATGCCACCCGTTTTGCAGTTTTGTAAATTTTAGCAGGCAAGTTGCAAAACCTGTCGACATTAAAGAAGGTTGATTTACAATATGAAGCAATATATTTACATTTATTGGTACTGAACCAGCGTCTAACTTAAAAACACTCGTTTTTAGCCATTTTCATTCAATACTTTACTCAATTTTACATGGAAAAATTCCGAGTTCGTGTTTAATATAGAGAGAGCAGCTAATCTGTCAAAAATGGTGTCTTTGTCGATTTTTTGATGCACAAGTTAATCAACTGCAATGTTCTGTACACAACTGGTCATCTCTTTCCTACTCGATGAAAAAGGCTAAAAAGGAGTACTTCTAGGTTAAACGGTGGTACAGTGCCAATAAATGTAAATGTATTGCTTCATATTGTGAAAATCAACTTTTTTAATGTCGACAGGTTTTGCAACCTGCCTGCTAAAATTTACAAAAATGCAAAACTGATGGCATCTCAGAGTAATCGAACCCACGACGTCCAGCTCCACAGTCCACGCCACCATCCACTGCACCATAATTCCTTTATAACTTTTCCAGAATGACGTCGTAACAGATATGGAGTGCGGTTTAGAGATCACCGTCTGGAGACGGTATACGCGGTATACACAGCTTACCCAATCGTCAGTGCGATTGTATCCTTCCCTTGTAAGTACCCCTGCAAGGAAAGACGGCTACGCTTTGAGAAATCCTGGACCGCCGCCAAGAAGGTAGCAAACTCCTTGAAGCACGTTATCTGTGTCAGTAGCATGATTCTGGTCAACTAACACTACCTTTTGCAACATATGAATAGGAACGGCCCAAGAACAGCATCAAACTGGTCTGGTTTGTATATAGTAGGTGCCGACGTAAAAATCGACGAAATAAACTCGATGTCGTGTCGGAAGTACCTTCTGCATAACTCATGCTTTTTTGATTTCAGCTGATGCCAAAGTGAGAGTCCACGATCTCATCACATAATTGGTCGTATGTGCCATGGTTCACCTTCAATTTGAGGTCAGTTGAAGTTGAAAGGACGGGCTTGTACGAAACTTAAAGGCAGTGTCCCGGCAAAATTTCGCTCTCCGGCTTTTCACCTCTTCGGAGCCTTCTCGACATGCTGAAGCTATATCTGAGCTTTTTAGCGCTTGAAAGCGGCGAAAGAGAAAATGAGCTTTTTTGAAGCTCTTCGTGTCCGCGTACGCTCCAAAATGCCTGTAAGAAGTGGGCGTCTGGAAATTGGCGACGTCCATAAGACTTCCGGAGCGGATTTCGGATTCCGAAAGCGCTTTTTCGCTTCAAACTTCACTAACAGATTAGCTGGAGGGTCTACTATTGCAACACTGTAAAATCCCGGTTCCCATCATTTTGAAAGGACGCTGCCTTTGAGTGCAGTCTTGGATAAAGTTTTGATGATTTACAATACCGCTCATAATTCGTCAAAAAAGTCGCCGAACTGCGGCGCACTCCGCCACACTCCGGCGCACTCTGCCACACTCCGGCGCACTGCGGCGGAGTGCGGCGGAGTGCGCCGCAGTCCGGCGACTTTTTTGACGAATTATGAGCGGTATTGTATGTCGAATGATGTCTTTTGAGTTCTGACTTTCCAGAGAAAATGCGACGCTTTCGATGCAATATCGCGTTTATTTCGTCGATTTCAACGGCGGCGACCAACCTAGCATGGAAACATCGGGTCAGACACATTTTTTTTGTGGAAGTCTGGCAGACTTCTTAATTTCGAAGAGATCAAAATCTTTCCAAACTCTGTTTCGTACATGATATCATGTACTCTGCAAATGTGAAAATTATGAAGCATTTGCATAACAGTCAACCTGCATATATGTAAATCATTGGTGAATCCTAGTATGAGTAGCAAGTAACCTTTTCAACTGGCTTGGCCCCGGGAAGGCGGGGTTGTGACCTAATCAGCCGCTTGCGCTCGCGATGCAGTCTGCGTTTCTCTCGCGCAAGTGCTCCCTGATCATTACATGGCCTTAATTAGGTCACGAAGTCCCGCCTTTGCAGAGCCAAGCCAGTTGAATCAAAGTGTATGTGTCCTTCAAATTTTGCTCTGCATTCTATATCAAGACATATTAAGTGACTTCTTGATCGCATTCCACAGTGAGATTCAATATTCAGACCGATGAATCTACATGTCGATTACATGCTCACTACTAGAGCTTTCGAAATATATAACTAGTCGCATATGTTTTAGCTTCATAAGCTTGTGGAAACCACTAACTTAAAGTGAAGGATCTCTGCTTTGCCATGTGATCGCTTTGCACTGTCGACTTTATCGATTTGCTCTGGGTTATCGGGACAATACTTCACTCCAAGTACAGAAATGGCTCGTTCTTCTAGGTCACAACTCCACTTCTGAAAACTCACCCTAGAGGAAACTCATTTGCCAGTTTACGCTCATTAGTAAGGATGAAAGCTAAATGGACGAATCTAAAGGAAGGAAAAGCATGCGCTTGTTCCATTGCCTTGGAAGCAGGGTCAAGCTTATGATGCGACTGTCGCAACGGGGGGTCGTAAAGAGGGTATCCAAGGTGGGGGGGGGGGAGGGGGAGGGTCGTAAGAGGAGTCAGTTAGACTAAGATATCCTAAGCTTAAAAGGGAATCAAAAAGCAGATAGTTAGTTATGTTCTTTACATTAAATCCATAAAAAGTGGAAATCAGAATAAAAAAGATAAAAAAATCTGTAAAAATTCTCAAAAAGAACATTTACAAGAGCTCAAAATCCTTTTGAAGGATGTATGATTCGATAAAAAAATGCTAAATGTACCTATTGGGCCCTAGAAATCTTGCTTCTGAAGCCTTCCTGAAGTCTCTCACACTCGACAAAAGCGAATATCTTTACCAGCTGTGCCATCATGAATTTCTAAATCTTTTTATAATGTTTTTTACGGACCCATTTGGTCTATCTGTACCTTGGAGATGCTCTGCTAAATTTTGGTGTCATTTTGTCAACTGTGGATTTTCTTATGATTTTATATATGGTAGCAAAAAATGAGAAAAGGGGGGGGGTCGTATCTGCACCTCATCTAAATTTCTCCGGAGCTATTAAAGCTTGTTAGCTGCAAAATTGCTATAATACGAAGCCATACTTCTACTTTTACCATAAGAATCTCAGGCTGTTTCATAACTTCTCCGGCAGGCACTATACTACAAAGCCTTTTCATTGCAGCCTCTCAGTCTTTCCCTGGCTTTAGTTACAAATTTTGCATTTTGGTCGAAAACATATTTTACGCTTCAAACATATCGTATTTCTCTTTAAAAAATGGTGTCGCGTACGGGCCGGAATTTGTTGGCCAGAAGTATGCTTAAAAATTCAAAAAAAAAGTTGTAGAAACCCAAACATTATTGAAGGTGTGTATGCGTGCCAGAGATGTTGCACGTACCCCTTGACTCAGAAATTCTGCTTCCGAAGCCCCACTAAAGTCTCACACACTCGACAAAATAGCAAATCTTTCAACGCTGACCGTCAATAATTTGTAAATCTTAAAGTAAAGCTTAATTATCATTCAGATTGGAATCGACGTTCTGCTTTGTCAGATAATACCCTTTCCATTCATATTTTCTCTACCACAATGAACATAGCCAAATCTTCGTGGAATTTTACTACTTACCCAATCTACGCAGAATTATTTGTGAGTTGGTTTTTGAATGGCAAAGCAATAACTTGCATTATTTCCCAATTTGTAAGTAGTTATCTAATTCTGATTTATAATTTTGAATGAGGTCCATTGGCAGGCACCGTTGAGATTGACACTCATTTATGCAGATTACCGCAAAAGAAAGTGGGAGGGTAGGTGGGAGGAGAGGGGGGAGGTAGGTGAGGAGGGGGTCGTACTGATAGGTACCTCCAGGGGGGGGGGTCGTAGAAGAGGGTCTAGATCGCATCAACACGCTTGACCCTGCTTGGAAGCATATGATTTCATGATGAAATTCTGTTGAACTGACCAATGTCTCCATGTAACGTGCCTCTGGCAAATAATCTCCATCGGGACCATTTTTTTCTTTTCCATTCTGTAATTTTTCTCTTGCTGCGTTAATTGGTGTCAAAACAAGCTGGATATAGTCCTCATCAAGTGCTCCATTAGCACATTGAAGGTCTCCTGAAGAAAGACAAATTTTCGTTTTACTTTGTATCCTACGAAGTCAAAGATTATTTTGCCATTATTATCGTACCTATGACAAACGCTGGCAGTAAGGAGGTCACCTTAAAAGAAACGTTGAAAGCATTTACGAAAAAAATCGAATTTACCGCAGCTATGGCTAAACGGAACCTCATGTGGATTGATAGTAGTTCTAGATGCTGTGGGATTATCAGGTGGGATTTAACACATGCTCATACAATACCCACAAAAAACCACGAACACAATATCATCAAAACGCGCCTATTATTGTTACAATATCGAAAATTGACACGTTTAGGCCCATTGACTGCAACACAGCATAATAATTCGAATATTCTCATTCTTATCATTGCCCGCGCATTGAGCGGTCGTGTTTCTTTGGCGCTCTCGATTTTTGTCGATTTTTTTCTCGATCTTTTTGTAGATTTTGTCATGGTTGCGACTCGTTCTTCTCAAAGCAAATCCAAAGCCTCTTTTTCTCAGATTTCTCAGGTCTCCCAAACTCTGAGTGATGATCCTCTTATTGCTGGTTTGTCTGATCCCGGTTTTTCTGGTGACATATCCATGCATTTACACACGATATCGACTTTTCTCGAGAGTACCCCCCGTGTCCCATCGCAGGTCATGGACTCGCTCCATGCTTTGCGATCAATCTTGGTCAACTCTCGTATGATTTGTGAAGAGTTCTTTCGTGTGAGAAGCATTGTGGTCGCCGGGATACCGGAATTAGCATCTAACTCGCGACCTTCGGCTAAGCAAGCTGATTTGGAATCCAAGGTCACCGATATCCTAGATGATCTTGGAGTTGAGGTCAGGCCTACTTCTGTCTTTAGGATGGGGAAGGGTTCAGAGGGCAAACCCCGCTTGACTAAAATCATGTTCCCATCTAAGGCGCATTCCCTCGCAGTACTTAGCAAGGCTAAATTGCTGCGCAACAATCCCCGGTTTTCTAACATATACATTAGGCCAAGCCTTACAGCAGAACAACGTAAAAAGGAATATGAGCTGCGTAAGGAGGCACGCGTAAAAAATCAGGAGCTTGGGTACAAAGCATACGTTGTCTACAAGGGGGATCTGGTCAAAGTTGCCGATCTGCAAGGGAGCTCAGGGCAACAACCAAAGCAGGGAAACTAAATTATGAGCATGGTACCCGTAATATGAAATGTGTGTTGTTGAATGCCCGCAGTTTATTAAACAAAATTGATTTATTTCGTCTTCTCTTGGTACATGATAAGCCCGATTTAGTTTGTATAACTGAGTCTTGGTTATCATCTTCTATTGAATCTTCCGAATTGAGCTCAAACCTTCCATACAGAATTTTTCGAAAGGATCGTCCAGAAAGGCGTGGCGGTGGCTTATGTATATTTGTCCGAGAAACTATTATTTGTGAAGAGATACCAGTAACTAGTTTGGGGTTGAGTGAAACACTATGCTTACAAATATCAGATAATGTGACGCATTCTCAATGTATGATTATCCTCGTCTATCGCCCTCCATCTTCTTCTCATAGTGATGATTCCAAACCAGGGCTCGGCACGAGCTGGCACCAGGGAAATTTCAAAACGAAGTCCCGTTTGATATTGAAAATTTCGTACGAAGTCCCTTTTGACCTGTTTTGAAAACCCGTCATCATTTTTTATTATGTAAAAAAATGTAGTAGTGTTTTCATGCATTTCTGATTTCATGGAAGAACTTTTCACAGCTTTCTGAGCTTGTTAAGTGGTCGAATCACATTTTGAGAAGCAGAAAAAGCCGATTTTTCGACGGCGGAGCGGACCGAGTGGTTTTCAAATTGCTATAAAACGCTGAAAAGAGAACATTATAAAACCGTTTCTTCTCCGTATGTAATCTTTTACAGTGTAGATACATTTTATGTAAAAAAGTATGAAAACTTATGTGAGCAAAGTGTCGGTGCCAGCTGAGCTGGCACCCAGCTGGCACGGTGCCAGCTAATTCAGAAAAAAGTTGGGCACAGCTTTCATTCACATAAGTTTTTCATAAATTTTTGGCCCATAGTTCCGGTCCACCAACGCGCATGCACACACCAAATTTGGTGTCATACTATTGCGTTTTGGCTGAAAACAACGCCTTTGTTTGTTGATGGACAGCTTGCCAATGGCATGCCGGTGGCATGCCGGCGGCATTTTTGCGGCAGTTCTCCGCCTCGGCCCCTGTAGAAACGATATCCCCTTTGCTCTCCGCCCTAAAAACGATATCCAGCTTGACCCGGTGCCAGCTGTGCTGGGCCCTGTTCCAAACTCATTGATTCGTTGCAAATTCTTTGTAGCCTTCATCGTGATATTGTTCTTGCTGGCGATTTTAACTTGCTTATTGATTGGTCGGCTAGAACGCCACTATGCTCTGCATCTGCCAGGTTTATCAAGTTGTTCGATGATCTTTCTCTCACTCAGCATGTACTGTGTCCCACGAGGAATGATAATATCCTTGATTTGGTACTGTCAACTTCGCCTCTCGTACATAATGTGACTATACGACCACCGCTTGGGTTATCTGACCATGCAAGCATTTACTTTGACCTTATGTTGCCGATTGATTTCCCCTGTATGGATTGTTGCCCTGACTATGCGAGCGGTGATTATGTGGCCATTTCTGCCTGCTTGGACACTATTGATTGGTGGTCCCTGCTCGACAATTCTTGCTCTATTGATGACATGTATCAACGCTTTCTTGACCTTTTACACGACTTACTGTCGCGTTTCATCCCATTGAAACGAGCAAGGTACGAGACTGACCACTACCCCACTCACATCAAGAACTTGATAGAACAAAGGGATCGTTTGTTTTGCACAATCCATGACCCGTTGACATCTGATAGATATAAAAACGTGGTAAAAAAGTTGAACAGACACCTAGCCAAATTCAGTGCGAATAGACAGAAAAGACTATCTAACATGAACACTTCCTCTCTCTTCAAGTATGCCCACCTGATTTTCAAAGAAAAGCATGGCCCTCAAGGATTGCATGATCACCAAGGAAATTTATGCAAGACTGATCAAGAGAATGCCGAATGTCTTGCTCATTATTTTGCATCGGTTTTCCAGAAACCGACAAACTCTAGACCTAGCCTTCCTAATGATCTAACCAATCAGATACAAAGTTCCTTATACCTTTCACAAGTTCCTCAAGTCCTGCCTTTTGATGTTATGAACATTCTGAAAAGATTGAAACCATCGACCTTCATTACTGCTGATGGAATTCCCCAGATGGTTTACAAAAGATGTGCCACTCAGTTAGCAGTTCCTGTTTCAATACTTGTCAACATGTCTTTGAGCAGTGGTGAATTACCCAGAGTATGGAAGCACGGAAGGGTGGTACCAATTCCTAAAGTTCAGAACCCACAAAAGGCCTCGGAGTTTCGGCCCATAAGCATTAACTCTGTGGTCTGCAAAGTTGCTGAGAAGATTGTAAGAAGGAAACTGCTGTCATTTTGCGTGCAAAAGCATCTCATACCGTCTGAACAGTTTGGGTTTATGGAGGGATCTTCCACTACTCTCCAACTGATTACTTGTGATTTTTACTGGAAAAGAGCCTTGGCACAAAATCGATTAACTGATGTTCTTTATTTTGACTTGTCCAAAGCTTTTGACAGAGTAGACATCCACAAATTAATTGAGAAACTATATTCAGTTGGAATTCGTGGAGGTATGCTAAAATGGCTCACGTCTTATCTGACTGAGAGAACACTCTCGGTACGAGTCAACTCAGCCATCTCTTCTATCTTCTCGGCAACCAGCGGAGTACCCCAGGGTGGTGTCTTATCCCCTATCCTTTTTAATATCTACACAAGTGAGTTACCCGGCCTTCTATCAATTGATTGGAGAATCAAAGTCATGGCATATGCAGATGATATAAAAGTTTTTGCTTCATACTCTGATGAGGACAAAGTCGAAGTGACTGATGCCTTGAGTGCTTGCCTTCAGAAAATCTTATCGTGGGCAGACTTGAACTGCATTGATGTTAACTTGCGTAAAAGTGTGTGCTTGACCATCACCAAAAGGCATGAACAAGAGAACACACTTAAAGAGTACACGCACTCCAGTATATCTCTGGCTAGGCCCGTGCTTGTAAGAGATCTTGGAATATTGATGGACCATAAGCTCCTGTTAAGATCTCATATTGAGAATATTTCGCGTGCAGCCTTACACAGAGTATTCCTTTTATTACGGAACTTGAAGCATGTAGACTTGAGAGTATACATCAAGCTGTATATGGCCTATGTTCTCCCTTCATTAGAGTATGCTTGCCAAGTCTGGAATCCTCACTTAAAAAAAGACATTCTAACCTTGGAGAAAGTCCAAATGGTTTTCACTCGTGTAATGTATTACAGATTTTTTCCAAGCGAGGATTACCCGTATACTCTTCCCTCCTATAGATGTAGGCTGGACTTGAAGTTGCATAGCTTGCTGTATCGAAGGGTTTTGGCTGACTTAGTGCTTGCCTTCCAAATAATTCGCCTTGAAACAAAAATTGTTCCTAGTGAATTCTGGGTTTGGAGACCGTGCAACGGCCGAACAGGTAGGTTTAGCTTCCACTGCATTGACTTTACTGTTCCAAATACACTCTTCTACAACTCATTTTTCGCACGCACTTCTCGATGGTTACAAAAGCTTCCTGACGCAGTTCTCTCTGCTCCTAATTCAACTACTTTCAGAAAAAAACTTCTTAATTGTGACTTTTTGAGATTGCTGGGAATAGATGAATCCGAGTACTTTTGAGATGAAGTTTCTCCTTATGTCCTTCACTTTTTTTTCTTACATTTTAAATTCTACTCTTGGCTGGCTCCTTTTTTTTCAGAGTGTTGACTTGCTCAGTTTAACGCTGGCTATTTCTTCACTGTATTTTCCAATGCCCCATGGACTTCACTTGGGAAGTTGATCGCCTTTTTAACTCACTTATGTTGTCTCGTCTGTTTTGATTTCAGAGGCCTTCCATGGTTGCCTGTACAATTCAGTCGATACAACTCTGCTGAACTTCGGTCCACGTTCCCTTTGCCTAAATTGACTATCCTTGTTGTTTTGTTTTCATTTTCTCGTTGTATGTGTTACAGCATAGCATACATTAGTATGACCATCTCGTTCCATCAATCATTTTTTTTCATTGCTGTTTTGCTGACATGCTCTTGACCTGAGAGGCTCTCTTCCGATATACGCAGCTTAGTGTTTGTCTTCTAAATCTGACATCGTCTTTGTCGTGTAATTTTATATGTCTGTCTCTTATCCTTGATCATCTTGTATCCAAGTCCGATGTTAGCGTTGTTGGGGTAAGCCGAACGAGGTCTCCTGCCCGCCGGGTACGCATGATTTCGCTCATTCGCCTAGGTGCTTATCCCTCTTTCTTCGCTCGAAAGTGACCGTATATTTATATACCGTCACGCATCGTACTTGGACTTGTACTTATACCAAGTTTAGTCCCCACGACACTGACTTTCTGACTTTGAAGACAACACTGACGAGCACCTAATTTAGAGAATTACTCTCCTCAATTTCTCTAGGGTGTTGAGCATGTTACAATTTCGTTTCATTACTGTTTTTGTCTGTCGTTGCGTTCGTGTCTTAGTACTGGCGCACTGTGCACAACAGTGTATCAATAAATAAATAAATTCTCGATGTGGTATGGCCAAACTTGGGTTTCTAAGGCCTTTACTAAACGGAAGACAAGCTTTTTTCTTGACAACTCCCATGCGATCTTCTTTTCCAGCAATGGGTGGCTGTAAAATGCTAATTAATCACTTTGATTTTTGACTAAAAGTTGATTTTTCAATAACCAAAGTCAGGAGTAGAGAAAGCGAGGAAAATATAACTTATTTATCTATTTATATATTTGAATACGCCACAGGCGCGCCATAGTGTAGGGTTAGTAATCAACAGATTCCTGGAAAAAATCAGTGTCAGAAATACACAAACACGAAGACAAGAAAACGTTAGCGTAGAAATAAGATAGCTTTTTTGAGACCATTCGCCAGTCTAGGCCCACACTAATGAATGATAGAACACAAGTACTAACTACTAGAAGCGCTGCCATAAAGGCAATTCACATGAGTCTGCGCATGCCACCCTCGCTGACCAGAGCAAGCGACCAATATTCTTGGAATATGATGGAGATTCAATGCGCAACAAACTAGGCAACCCTTGTACAACCGAACTTATTGGATGAGGCACAAACTCAATAAGAAAACTGGAAATAAGCTCGGTAACAAATATATTAAATTCGGTAAAAGAAAACATTATGTAAGGTTGATAGCTTCTTGTTACGAATGGTAACATTCAAGGGCAACCTTTGAAAGTTGCTGCAAAATTTGGGGGGCAGGCGTTATGGAGCAAAGCTAAGCCGCTTCCCCCGCGGCATATCCTAAGGAAAATTTGCGTTCACTTTAAAGGCAGTGTCCGGGCAAGTTGGGGGTTCTGGGATTTAATGCCATGCGAAAGTGGCCCTCCTCGGACACAACATTGCGCAAGCGCGAGGCCTTAAAGGCAGTGGCTCGGCAAATCTCAGCCTAGTCAAATTTTCGCTTACCTGAGGTTATTCAGTACGTTGATCACGAAAACCCACTTTAGAAAGCTCGAAAACGGCAAAAACGAGCGTTTTCGACGCCCTTCACTTCAAAATAGGACAAGTGGAGCCAGGCTGATGACGCAGAATCGTTGCGGGACCCAGTGATTATAGCATTGTGGCGGGCAGCCTCCAATGGTGAAAGAAGTTGCCATCTCGTCCGGGTGCGTGTAAGATTGGCTTGCGAGTGTAAATTTGAGAGCGATTTTCTCGACAAGGAAGGCATGCTGTGCAACCGGAATTGCATTTTTTCATACTTGGACGGTAAAGAACTTACTGCGTTAAAATCCTGGGTTTTCATGTTTTGCCGATCCACTGCTTTTAACGCTCGACCTAAAGCAAGAAAAACAACCAGAAAGTGGGGAAACTTACGCCTTGGGGCGAGGTCCTCCGACCGTCTCTGCCTGGCGGGTACCGTCGAATTCAAATTGTAAGGTTTCAGAAAACGTATGTTCTGCCTTTTCGCGCCTTCTAATGTGGATTCAGGGCCCGGCACAGTTGGTTTTGGGTCAAACTGGACTTCGTTTTTGAGGTTAAAAGCAAATGGGACTTCGTTTTTGCGGGGTCTGGGACGGAGCCCTGGAAAAAAAGTACCTTTGAGCTATGCTTATGAAAACCGAATGCAAGTAGGTTACATGTGTTTTAAGATAGGTTAATACTTTGCTTTTGTACTCATTTACAATGGTCAAAATTCCGTGGTTCTAGATTATAACGAAAAGCAAACGCTTTCTAATGATAGAAAACATGACACTTTCACGCGTTTAACGTGTCTTTCGTAAGCGCGCGAATTTCAAATGTTAGACCAAAACAAACAAATGGCTTGTTTACAACGCACAAACAGCCTCATGACCTCAAATTTGGGCTATGTGTATATGAAATTGCTCCAAAATGCATTATGTAAAAAGTTTCAAAAACTTACGTGCCTGAATAGGTCTCGGATTTGTTGATTTCTAAACCAACACCAAACCAACTGGGTTGGTTCGGAGCATAAATATCGGAGAGTTCACATAAGTTTTGGACCTTTTCGATGTGGACGATCAGAGCGCTTGAAAATCTATTATATGGTGAAGACAGCAGATCAAACCATGGCCTCTGCTCTTTTTACGAGCCAAATATAATATGAATAGAGGCTTTCATAGATATGACGTTCCAATCACATATGTGTCACGGCGCCCTTTGGGCTCCATCTAAATCTACAGAATCGGCTGCGCGGGCGGTCGCGTCGCGCGCAGCCTTTATCATTAGGTCACGCTTGCCGTGTGCACAGCCGATTCTGTAGATTTGTATTCTCAATCAGCTTATTATGTGATTTTCGGTTTCCTACTAGCAAGACTGACGGATTTGTGACAATCTACAAATGTTTGGTAGCATTGACATTGCATCGTTTTCCTTGAAACTGATTCTGTATTGCTGCTTGAACCACCACTACCACTAGGATGTTTTTGTGTTGATAGTCCGATTTGGCTTATCTTTCACTACAACTGTGATGCCTTTTCTGCGTTAAAATCCACTGGATCTCATGTTGACATTATTGTGGAGTTTCCTCTATGTACGGGTAAATTTTTTATCAATCTCACTTGCAAAATTCATATTCTCAGTTGCGAAATGGATTGCACAGTTTCTGCCGCTTTCTTCATCAGTTGCAATCTTGCTGGATTTCCTCATTGATATGTGCTTTCTATCGCTCATGCTTACAACGAGAAATGATGTTTTCAGTTTGTGCATTCGTCATCTTTACTCTCACTGCAACCGTCTCTATCGCTTTTTGACGAATCCCAAGAAGATATGAAGAGTAATCTCTTTAGTTTTGGAAGTTTTGCTTTTGTGCATAGACTGTTCCAGAAGTTGGAGCTTCTCAAATGTAGTATTTTTTATGGTCGCCTTTCTACGGTCGTCTTGAGGCTGCTTCGACTGTTCCTTCCGCAAAAGTAAGTTTTCCCTTATTCTTAGCGATAGGGTTCCAAGTTTGGCTAAATCAGTATGGAATTCATAATCACTGATGTTTTGTCGTTGAGTAATACTAAGCTTTTAAGTTCAATCGATCCTGTTTAACCGGCCTGTTATGACCAACCGAACATAGGATTTGATGAAAAGTTAGTTCCTAATCTAACATCATTCGTCATGTCATCAACGTCCCTCGAAGCTTCGGATTGCCCAAAATGCACGAAGATTATGCTTCGCAAGAATCAATCTGTGAGTTTTAATCATGGTTAGTATACTAAATCCTCATCTCTTTCTGATTTTCAGTTCTGTTTAAACACCACACAATTATCGTTAGTATCGCGTGTTTCCGGATGAAGCTGCCACTTTCATATGACGTGCTCAATTTCAGCTCTTCTCTCCTTTGTGGCCTTTCAGTTACGTATATACATGCTTTGTGGTTATTGCTGTTATCTCATACTATATCTCTCGCAAAGTGCGTCTGTATCAAACTCTGAGTTATGAGGACATCACTGTTTAAGTCAAGTTTTCCAGCTTGGAACTAAGTTGTTGGCTGATTGAGTTGATGTCGAGTAATGCTGTGCTTCTACGGCTCTCTATAATTTGTTCGTTTCACTTAGAACTCACTTCCAATTATGCTAGAAAGCCTCTTCGAAAGCCTCAGGTGCTGATCTGATATTCATACTGTGTTGGCATATGTTTTGCACTCTATCCTCTAGGGCTTTGGCGACTATGGCAGTAGTTCAATAAAAAAGAATGCGTATAGCATTGTAATCGAAGAAGTTATTGCATTGAAACTTCAAAACTGAAGCATACAACAATGAAAAAGTCAAACACTGGCTTATCTATGTAATGAACGATCCGTTTCTAATGTTTACAACGATGTATAAAAAGGATATTTGTTGAACGTGGCTTTTGTGGAGATAATACTCTTTGATTGTTCTTGCACGGTTCTTGTGACCGTTATCAGCCAAACACTTTCTCAACAGATGTTTTAGAATTTTGCAGAGACTTCAAGTAGAAGATAAATGACTATCAAAGCCATTTAAACTATGACCTATCCCAAACGATTTACCTTACTGTTTTACTGCCATCTGTAGCCACCAACCTCAAGAATTGACCTCTGGTTATCATAGCATTCGTATTCTGAAGCTAGAAAATCAAGTCAGTACACGCTTATGATGAACGGGTAGATAAAATGGCCACAGTCAACCTTACTCGGGTCTGACAAGGTTTATCCATGAATACGACCTAGCAGGTAATTCGGATGACCGCTGTGAAATTTACATGTGCAGCATTGACTCATGGTAGCCGTCATAATTTTCTACAGATGTGCAATTTTTTGTTTAATAGATGTCTTCACGAAGGGCATCCAATTTTTGATTCCATTTTTCAATACCAACTTCTCCGAAACTGACGCGCTCTGATAATCGCTGTCTGAACTACATTGTACCTACCATGAGAGCAGAGATCGCCGAACAAGCGGAACAAACTGCATGCGAGTTCAGCCTTATGTAACGAATGGATCGCTGCGCGCTTACAATACGATCCGCCATAGAACGTTCTGAAAACAACGTTTCCAGGAATTCTCGTATTGCGAGTCTAATCCGAAAAAAAAAAGCGAAATCCTTAAAATCGAAACGCATTGCGTAGATGGAAGTATCGTTCGTATTGGCCGCGACCCAGCAGCTACTCGGAATGACAGCATTACAAAGCCAGTCAGCTGTAAAGCCGAGCGTTTTCTCGACTCTGACTTCATAAGAAGCAGACAATAATCAATGCATTCGCCAACTTAACAAAAACGATGCAGTGTCAATGCTACCAAACATTTGTAGATTGTCACGAAAACCGTCAGTTTTGTTAGTAGGAAACCGAAAATGACATAATGAGATTGAGCTTACAAATCCACAGAGTCGGCTGCGCACACGGCAAGCGTGACCTAATGATAAAGTTTGCGCGCGCGACGCGACCGCCCGCGCAGCCAACTCTAGATTAGAGTTGATAGATTAGTAGTTAGGATAGATTTAGATGGGGCCCGCCCTTTGAAGTGGCGCCGATTGCACCAATTCATTTTTTTGTCTCGTCATGTGCATCTCTGTGTTTTTCTCTTTCTGTCTCTTTCTGTCTTTTTCATTGTTTTTAATTTCTTTTCGCTTCAAGAAATGCCTGCGGTGGAGGCGAAAGAAATGCTCAAGGACAAAAGGACAAGAATGACGGACGGGACGACAAGAGCCAGCCAAGATTGATTTTTGTTTTTATGTTCTTTTTGGTTCTTTTTGCTTCGGGCTGTGACCAGCTAGCTTCCGCCCGTAGGCTCGCGGCCTTCACAAGAGCGGGATTTCAATTTCTGAAAGAGAATGAGATTAACAGTTAGTTTATATACTATCTATCCTCAGAGTAACAACTCTGGCCACTTCTTACCCAAAAATAATTCCAAGGACAATTTTTGGGGTCTTAAGTTTTTATGTGCTTCCTGCAGCGCACATGCCAACGATTGGTACTTACGTGTTTTTTTAGCAAAATTGTACATTCTCTCTGTCAAAACAAAACAACAAGTTCGATGACTCTGAACTAAGTAACAAGCACAAATCGCACGCGTTGCTATTCACTCAAGTTTGTCAATTTTGATATTCTTATAATATTAGGGCCCCAAGAATTCTGACTCTGATTCGGAAATAGGCGATGCGCTGAAAACGTTCGTAGGCACTATTGCTAACTAGATGGCAAACCCAGCTCCGCCCGGGACCAAACTTTGCACACATACACTTCGGGGCAGGGAGCGTGTCATAGTCCACTTTTCGGGGGTGATCAGCATGTTCGATTACCCCCCTGTGCAAAATTCCAGCCCCCTAGCTCAAATTTTGCAAAATTCGATAAAATCGATATCGATCGATAACGAAAAGTAGCCTATGACACGCTCCCTGCCCCGAAGTATATGTGTGCCAAGTTTGGTCCCGATCGGTTCAGAAATAAAAATTTCTATTCCGCACATACGCACATACAGACAGACATACATACACACATTCAACTTTATATATAAGACTAGCGACCCTACGGGTCGCTAGCAAGCGGGTAGGGCACACCCATAAATAAACGTATTTCATACCTATAATTTTCTCAAGTGAAATTCCAATTTATCAGCACATGTATTGCCACAACCCCTCAAAAGTAACATTTTCAGAGATATTTTCAATGGGAGGAAAGTGAATCATGCCGTTCTAAAATTTTGTTCTGCCCAGTCAACGCTGTACAGCTTCCTTTCGCAATGTCACACTCGCACTCACGCTTACAATCTGGAGAGAAAAATCGGATTCACCCAGAGCAAAAGCTCCCAAAAGCGAGATTTTGGGAGATTTTCTCAGAATTTGGCGGAAATGTGGATCATATCGTGCTAAAATTTTGTCTTGCCCCAGTCAACGCTGTACAGCTTCCTTTCGCAATGTCACTCTCGCACTCACGCTTACAATCTGGAGAGAAAAATCGATTTCACCCAAAGTAAAAGCTACCAAAACGAGATTTTGGGAGATTTTCTCAAAATTTGGCGGAAAAGTGGATCATATCGTGCTAAAATTTTGTCTTGCCCCAGTCATCGCTGTACAGCTTCCTTTCGCAATGTCACTCTCTCACTCACGCTTACCATCTGGAAAGAAAAATCGAATTCACCCAGAGCAAAAGCTACCAAAAGCGAGATTTTCGAAGATTTTCTCAAAATTGGGCGGAAAAAGCATAATGGATACTGAGATCGAATGTGACAGGATCAAATTGTATGCTTCTATAACTAACTTTGCAGCAATGACCAGCTCGCAATTTCAACACCCTTGGCACGCGCTTGCGTCTTTCAACACACCCATTGCAGCAGCAGAGCGTATGCGTGTCGTGGCCTCTCGTTCGCGCTAGGACGTCTACGTCCTCTTGACCTCATGATCGCACCGTCGCATCTCTACACAATAAGGCCCCGTTCGGAAACCGGCGTCTATTCAAAACACCCTCTGAAGCATACATGTGGGCGGAACCATCCTCGCCGTCTCGTTTTTTGGGATCGGGTTTATATTATAGGAGAGGATGAGAAACTGCTGGATGTCAGTAGCGTTGGGATCAAATTCAGCGACGAAAGTGAGGCAATGGCCAAATACGCAAACGTAGTCGCAAAACGTTTAGAAAGTTGCAGCAGGTAAAAGGGATCCTTTACGAGAGAATTGTGCTTTTAGCTCGTGAGAGCGAGTACGACCGAGATAGGATGCGCTATGGAAGAATGCGACTATTATGGCGATATTTACGTTACTTCGTACTGTGTCACCAATCAGTCGTGAGTTCTTTATCTTGCCATAAAGAGCAACAGGTGTTTGTAACAACAGTGCCGTTGAGAGCTGTTACAAAGCATTCATTCTCATACCTTTTGCTCTTTTCGAATTACTAGAGAAACATGAAAAATACGAATTAAAGCTTCTTCCCTTTCACTCTGTGGAGGATGCAGTGCCTTTCACCGGTAATAATGCTAAACAGGGCTCAGAGGTGGTGGCGCTTTCAAATGCTAGATGTCGTTTGAGGTGTATGCACAGGAAGCCCCAGACACCCCAAACCTCATCCCTCACGCTATCAGCCGCATTTCCTAAACCCAAATCATGGTATGTCGGAATTTCTCGCAATGTCAGGAGGAAATTCGTTTTTGACACGTTCCAAATGCCACCTTGTGCTGGGCACTGGTGCTATCTGGTAGAATAAGTGAGCTCGACAAGCTCTTAGTTTTTGAATAATTCTGTTAAGTGATGTCCATCATCACTTTAACAAACAAATGGTCTGATTATGCATCTAAGACAATAAGTCCCATTATCGATGTCATTGAAGTTGCACTTGTAAGCGTTTGTGTTTGCTTGCTAGAGGGGTGCCCTGGTTTTTGAGCAGTATGCATTACGTCTCCTTTTCTGAAACAAACGCTAATGAATTCAGCTCAATCTTGAAATTCTCTGTGCAAAATTTTACTTGACTTTTCACAGTTTTTTGAGGTTCCCATTGAGAATTTACTGCTTAGAACATACAAAAAGTTGCATTTACATTGTAGCAATGCAGGGTGTCCCAAAAGTAAGTACACACTTTTTAATCGCTCACTTCCTTCTTTTTACACAGTCTTTTGCTTAGTTTTCAGGTAGTATCCATAAGGCAGGCTTCAACTTAGATTTACATTAGTGAGCAAATCGCAAATCTCTCTTCGTTGCTGTAGGATTACGGTAAGAACTTTGGGACTGTGGAATATCAGTGGCTATATTTTGCTTTAGAATGAACACACTAAGATGTAAACTGTTCACTGGGCTAAACTGAGTCCGCTGATTGTGAATATGAAAAATCGCACTTCACCGTAGAGCTTTTTTCTAACTTATGCCAAGTAAACGGCGACACCGGCTTTTCAAAAATGTGACTAAAGCAAGTGAAGCTCTTCAAAAACTCGTAAAATGTTGCCTAATGATAGAAACATGTCTGAAAACACTACTCCAAGGCGTTCTAGAATTTTTTGAAACTTTTTCTCAAAAGGCCTAATTCATAACGGCGCTGTATGCTGGAAATTCTTACCGTAATCCTACAGTAACGAAGAGCGATGGGTGATTCGCTCTATATTGTGAACTAGCTGGCTTACCCGGCTCCGCCGTATCCGGACCAAACTTGGCACACATACACTTCGGGCCCCGGCGGGTGTTACAGTCCACTTTTCGTTATCGATCGATGTCGATTTTACCGATTTTTATCGATTTTTTTGCTGAGTTCACCTACAGGGCTACGAGTTGGCACAGGGGGGGGGGGGGGAAGTGAGCATGGGGATTCCGAATACAATATTAGTTTTCAGAATTATCGATTACTTTTATTGATTTTATCGATTTTTTGTAAATTTTGACATGCGAGGCTGGGATATTGCACCTTGGGGATGATCAGCATGCTCGATTACTCCCCTGTGCCAACTCCCAGCCCCGTAGCTCAAACTTTGCAAAAAAAATCGATAAAATCGATAAAAGTAATCGATAATCCTGAAAACCAATTTTGTGTTCGGAATCCCCATGCTCGATTACCCCCCTGTGCGAACTCCCAGCCCCGTAGCTCAAACTTTGCAAAAAAATCGATAAAATCGATAAAAATAATCGATAATCCTGAAAACCAATATTGTATTCGGAATCCCCATGCTCGATTACCCCCCTGTGCCAACTCCCAGCCCCGTAGCTTAAACTTTGCAAAAAAATCGATAAAATCGATAAAAGTAATCGATAATCCTGAAAACCAATATTGTATTCGGAATCCCCATGCTCGATTACCCCCCTGTGCCAACTCCCAGCCCCGTAGGTGAACTCAGCAAAAAAATCGATAAAAATCGATAAAAGTAATCGATAATCCTGAAAACCAATATTGTATTCGGAATCCCCATGCTCGATTACCCCCCTGTGCCAACTCCCAGCCCCGTAGGTGAACTCAGCAAAAAAATCGATAAAAATCGATAAAATCGATATCGATCGATACGAAAAGTAGCCTGTGACACCCGCCGGGGCCCGAAGTGTATGTGTGCCAAGTTTGGTCCGGATCGGTTCAGAAATGGAATTTTCTATTCGGAACATACGTACACACAGACATACAGACATACATACAAACAGACATTCAGCTTTATATATAAGATTAAAGCTGAAGCCTGCTCTGCCAAACTGTACTTACAATAGAACTTAGCGGAAGAGAGCTATTGCCGATCAAAATGTGTAATTACTTTTGGGACACCCTGTATATGGCCTATCATCAAAGTGAATTGAGGCCTACCATTTTAAGACATTAATGCACTTTGTTCAATTGTGGATAAGTTGAATTTCTTCAGGATCCTTTTTGTATAAGATTTATAATATTTTCTTATTTGTTGCCTCATGAGCAAGAAAGCTGATTTTGATTACCATTTGGATCTTATATTCAAGGGATTAATAGAGATAATTTAGGCCAGTTGCTGCCGGCGATTACATCAGTGGACCAGGTACGGAGAAGTAAACAGTAGGTCTCATAATTTGAAACCAGTATCGCTGTAGAATGAAGGAAGAACACGAAAAAAGGCGACTAGCACACGATTCAGTCGAATTCAGTCCAGAAAGACTTAAAGGAGATTAGAGAGAATCTTTTCCTTATTTCAGCACAAACTTCTGTCAAAAACGCCCTATATCATTTGATCTGAGTAAGCTTAAACAGGATTACAGAATTAGGCCTTATCTACAAGGTGGGAATATGGGCGTCATATTTTTGTTAGCAAAACTTTTCATACAAACGAAATTCTGTTAGATTATTGCATACTGAAAATGGAGACATCTTTATGTGTTACTCCTACAAAATTGGGCGTCTACACATAAATATAGACTTCAGTAGCTTATTTTGAAATTGGTGCGTCAAAAAATGCCAGGTGAAGGATGTATCAACTACTTATTCGTGGCGACCCTCAGTTACGAATTAAATAAATTTCAAGACATGAGATTTTGTAGAGCATTGTCTGAGGAACAGACAGTGCCGTAGCCGCTAATCGTCCCAAAATAAAATGCGACACTATAAACATGGTGCTGTGACTGAGCCGCAGTGCCTTTTAACAATAAGTGGAAGCAGACTCCGGATTTCCGTTCCCATTGGAAGAGCGATAAATCTTAATATAGAAATTGTCCACGCACTACAGGAATGTTGGCCGTCATGATAGAAATTTCCAAAAAAATTACATATTGTGACGCATAAACTTACCGGTCACCCTGTATACTCGCTCTAGAAAAAGTTCCGTGATGATAAACGTCAGGCAATAAATAGTATATCATCTATACCAACCTGTTACGGCACAATAAAATTGAACAGTTCCGTGATGTTTTTGTTAGCATGAACTCGTCAAAAAACTACAGATATACTTACTTACTTAGATACTTAGATGGCCCGTCCTCACGTGACGTGCGGGCCCCAGTACAAGTTTCCATTTTTTCCAGGGGCGAAAGTCGTATCCAGCTGATTTCTCAGCTGGTCCATGCGTTCCACGAACACGTCTGCCCATCTCGTTGGTGGCCTTCCTCGAGGACGTTTGGCTTCGCAAGGAATCCACTCAGATGTTCTTAGTGTCCATTGTCGTCTGTTCTTCTCATTATGTGACCGGCCCATCGGTGTTTGGCTGCTGCGAAGTCCGACTAAATGTTGCTTGCGTCGGGTCATCTTCAGAAAACTGCGCTCGAGCGCTCTGTGGGTGGTCCGTACAGCTTTCGCGTGGCTGCAGTATCGGCCCAAGTCTCAGCTGCGTAACAGAGCGCCGGGAGAACGGTTGAGTCGAACAGGTGGGCACGAAGCTCCGGGTCCGTCAGTTGGTCGCTGGCTTCCTTCAGAGGCCCGAAGGCGGCCCAGGCTGCTCTTCTTCTCCTATTAAGTTCTTCCCTCAACTCGTTCTCCATGTTCATCGAACGTCCCAGTTACACGTAAGAAGACGTCTCCATATTAGGGTGCCTTCCATTTCCATTTCTGCATCTTCGCAAAGGACGTTCCTCATGAACTGAGTCTTCTTCCGATTTATTCGCAGTCCGATCTTCTTCCCTACTTCGTTCAGTTCCTTCAGCATCGTCTCTGCTTCGGTGATACTGCTCGAGAAGAGAACGATGTCGTCCGCAAAACGAAGGTTGGACAATCTCCCATCAACTCGTATGCCTCTCTCGTCCCAGTCCAGTGACTTCATCACTGGACTGGGACAAGAGAGGCAGTTCACCCACTGCAAGGCCGCGGTGAACAGCTTCAGCGAGATTGTGTCGCCTTGTCGGACCCCCTTATCGTTTGGTATGGTCAGGGGGCGATGGAACAGCTGTATCGTTGTTGTACAGTCCTTGTAGCGGTTGGCTAGTGTCCTCACGTAGGCTGGGTCCACTCCTTGATCGACTAGCGCTGACAGGATAGCCTTGGTTTCGACGCTGTCGAAGGCTTTCTCGTAGTCGACGAAGGTTAGGACGAGAAACAGTCGGTATTTCCGGCAGACTTCTATGACCCTCGAAACCGTCTGGATGTGGTCTATGCAACTGAATCTCTTGCGGAATCCAGCTTGTTGTTGGGGTTGAGCTTCATCCAGGGTCCTAATATGCGAGCGAGGGTAATATTCGTGAAAAGTTTGTAGAGCACACTCAGCAGGAATATTGGAGGGTAGTTCCGAAGATCCTCCCGTTCACCCTTCTTGAAGAGAAGAACGGTTTTTGACGTTCTCCACTGGTCGGGAATCTTCTCCCTCTGAAGGTAAAATGTCAAATGCGACGCTAGAACCTCGTGTAGACGGCGTCCTCCGGCTCGCAGAAGTTCGACAGGAAGCTGATTTGGTCCTGGAGCCGTGGACTCTTCATGGTCTAACTCGCCGTGCGCACTTCAGCAGGTAGAATCCTTGGTGGTACTTCTCCAGTAGGAACAACGGGCATCTGCACGGGTGTTGATGAGCGGAAGAGGTTGGTGTAAAAGTTCTTCGCGATAGATTCCATCTTGTATCGGGAAGAAGTCGGAGTCCCGTCTTCGTTCAGTAGTGCAGCCAGCGGTACATAATATTCGCAGAGGTCCCTTCGGCACTTCTTAAGACTTCGTCTTTTTTCGGCTGCTTCCAGTATCTTGGCTTGCCTGTACTTCCTGAGATCCTCTTGCAAAGCTGTTCTGCAACTGGCGTTGGCTATGAGTCGCTCGAGATGGGTTGCATTCGGATCCTGCCTCAGAAATGTTCTTCTTTCGAGCATTTTCTTGGTGGTCTTCGAAATGCGTTCCAAGTTCTTCTCAGAAGTCACTGAGGCGCATTCTCCACAGGCTCGCAATCCTTTCAGAAGCCGGTCACAATCGTACGTTGGGTCCTCCTCGATGGGCCAGTCACAACTTGATATGAGGTCTTCCAGCCTGTTACCGTCATAAACGACTTCCTTCCTTCTCGCGGCACTATGACAGACTTTCTTTTCCAGCCTTCGGCTGAGTCGTATCTTCGCTCGAAGGAGGCGGTGATTCGGAGCCACTGCAGGATGATGGAACTACAGAGACATCGAGTAAGCTCCACTTTCGGTTGGTGAGAATCTGGTCGATCTTAGCATGAATCGTTCCTTTGAGCGATTCCCAAGTCCACCGGCGATGTTCTTTTTTCATGAAGATGGAGTTTCCATGGAAGAGTCGTGCGGCGGAGAGAAGCCCAACGAGACGGTTGCCGTTTTCGTTTCGGAGCCCATATCCAAACTTCCCGATCCTATATTCCTTTTCTAGTGGCATCCCGACTTTCGCATTGAAGTCGCCCACAACATATTTGTAGAAGGACTTTTCGTTGCGGACGACCTCCTCCACGTCTTCGTAGAAAGCATCTAGTTCTGATTCGTCAGCTGCTGATGTTGGCGAGTAGCAGTTGATGATGCTGATGGTCTTCTGACGTGGAGGGCGTAGTCGTAGGATGCCCAGTCGAGGTGATAGGATCTCGTGCGAATTCACAAGATGGACGATAGATGGGTGGACGACAAAGCCGACGCCTCCCACGTTTCATGATGGAACCTTTTCACTACGAATGATGAGGGTCCCATCACTCATCTGTCGCAGGCCTTCTTCCTGGACTTCGTTTCCTGCAGAGCGATGATGTGGTAGTTGATGTGCTCTGCAGCGTCGAGAAGAGCGTGGAGGTCGGCGTTTGTGGAGACTGTCCTGTCGTTGTAGGTGCAGAGCTTGAGGCAGTCTCCATGGCGTGTTGTCCGGGCAGACGTGTCGTTTTTGTGCAATCCGAAAGGCGCCCTGAGTACCCTGACATCGTTCTTGCTACCACCCGGCACCGTAGGCGGGATACGATGTGCAGGGTTTCTTTCTAATCTTCTAACTGGAAGAGTGATATGAATTTTTCCCTACAAGAGGTGGCTTACTAGGCCTACTCTTGATTTTCACGGGGCGGTCGCTGACCCAGGGCTTGGAGCGGGGAGAGACCGCCTAGCGACCAGAAGAAGCCAGACGGCGGGGGATCTAGCGTGGCCGGTTCTTAGCTAGGCGTCCGGCCGAAACCGGAAGCGTCGAACTCCTTCACAGCTTGGGAGGCCCTACCAGAGTATACACTCGGCTGTGCATCGCAGTTCGATACCCAGTGTCACCCCCACGCCACGATGAGGCGACCGACCATTGTGGGGGAACTACAGATATAAGTAACAAAATAGATGATAATCAAACCAAATATAAGAAGAGAAACCCTTATGTATGTAAGCCCCTTTCTGTAAAGTTTGATGATTACTCATCCCAAAGGCTTGGTAACGGAACTGATAATGTGGGCTAGGTACGGACACAGTGAGGAACTGAGGCCCCCGATTACAGTTCCGCGAGCTTTTACACAAAAACGAGCTTGTTACTTCCAGAAAAAAAAATAGTATCTGCTCCCATTTTGAATACGATCAATCTGAAAGTAATGAGAAATTAAAGCTTCATCACTTTTAGACTGTAAGCTCCTCAAAGAATCTACCAAAACAACATGTCAGAAAAAACTCTAAGGATCGTAGATTGATGACCGAGGGTAGTTTCTTAACAGCATAGCATTGCCACCAAATGATTGAGCGCATCCCGGTATGCATCCTCTGCTCGTATTCCCGCTTTGATCAAGCAATTCACGAAAAGTTTTAATCCAATCCAGCTCATATAGGTTGAGCCGATAGTTTTTTGATTTCAAAAGCTTCGACACTGCTCCCCGTGTGAACATGTTTGCTTACAAAATATTTCATCAGAAGGAGAAATTTCTCCACTTTCACATAACTTATATACTATACTTTCTATACTTTCACATATCTTCGCGGCTCTTTGACAACAGGAGACTCCAAGGATAAGAATTCGATTAGGAGAACCAGTTTAACTCTCTGTTTTCGAAAATGAATTGCCAAAAATTTTGAAAGCCGCAAAAAAATTGAGAAGATGTTTGTTACAGTCTACGTAAGCTGCTCTTTCGAACGATACAACAATAAACTTATACTTTGAGATTTTCTATAAATGGTTATGATTTTCGAGAAAAATGCCAAAATAATCAATTCTTTCGATTTTTATGCTAGCTCAAAAAGCATGACTTTCGCACTGAGTTTTAACCAAAACGAAATCTACAAGTCACAAAAAGTGGCAAAAAAGCGTATAATACTCCACTCCGATCAAAAATAATTTTTTTTTGCATTTTCGCAATTTCCTCAAAAATCATAACTTTTCGCAGAAACGCTCGGTCAGACAAACTTGGCACTGTTGGAAAGAGCGGCTTTTGTAGACTGTAGGAAACATGTTTTCAATATTTGCTGCAGCGTTCCAGATTTGACGTTTGATTTTGAAAGTCGGGAGTTGGAGTGGTTCACCTAATCGAATTTTTATTCTGGAGCCCCATGTCGTCAAAGCGTCGCGAAAACGTTGTTCAAAGAATGCAATTTTTTGTGAGCAATACGTTTACAGGGAGCAGCTACGAATTTTTCAATACCAAGGCGACAAAACTTTTGGTTCAACCTAATATACTGACCTTCATGATAATACAAATATGCTCTTTTGTAAATCGCCGCCTTTTCCACTAAAGCAGTAAAACTTGAGTCTAAAAAATAGAAGCATTCGGGACACACCAGACACATGCACCCAAGCCGCTAGGTACAGTAGTATTATATTCGAAATCTTGAATGCAGCGACTCGGCAGAATGACAGCTTTGGGGTATTTATCGTTCTGGGGTTCCTCTGGACGAGCTAAGTCCAATACTGTGCTTTGCAGCTTCAAAAGATATCAAAAAGACGCTTTTCCAGACGTGAAGATTATATTTGGGTGAACCGCGTATCGTGCTCTCTAGCGATTGGCTTGTGAGTGGTACTGTACCTACCGTACCCACGAGCCAATCGCGCTCGAGGGCAGGCATACGCCATCCGTCCAAATAGCACCTTTCACTTCTGGAAAAGCGGGTTTTTGATATCTTTTGAAGCTGCAAAGCACAGTCTTGGACTTAGCTCATCCAGGGGAACCGAGAATATCCTAAAGTGTATATCCTAAAGTTGTCATTCTGCCGAGCCACTGCCTTCAACTCAAACGTGTACTTGCCTTCTTTATTAAGGGGATTAGCAGGACGAATGTATGTCCAATTCGGATGGCTATGACAGAAGGTTGTAATAAGAAAGTTTTTTCTCGCAAAAGCTCCAGAGGTCAGTGCGCTTCAACTATGGAATCTGCAATAAAATCATAATAGCACTCCTTTCTACCTTTGCAAGTAGTCTAATAAGTTCAAGTCTTTTCACAATTCGGCCTTAAATTCGGTACGATGCGAATGCCAGAGTGGTTTTTCTCGCATCTAGTACGGTCAAGTATAGCCTTATCAGGGAACGTCAATATGTAAAATCCGGACTTGATCCACCCATCTTCGAAATTGTTCAGTTATGTGCTCGAAGAGGCCTGGGTTCTGTGAACAATAGCGCGATCGAAATCCATAACACCTTTACTATGTCAACTAATAATCCTAGTAACTGAAGAAAAGCCACTGAGAGAAAATAATCTGATTCCAAAATGTAGGAGTGGTGGTAATTTGATTGCAACCATCACTTTTACCAAGTTTTTATTGTAGTAATCAGCAGGTACAAATCATCCCTATAAGCGTCGAAGAAACAATGTCGATGGAAGCGGGCATATTTTCACTTGAGTCTAGATTTAGCAAAGCGATGTCATCGAAGGGGACAGAACCTCCAAGTATTTTCAAGCTTGACGCTTTCATTCACTTCAGCAAATTCGCAATTCGCTCTCTACAACCCTTACCAAGCTGGATCAAGCGTTCCTCACATTTCTCTTAATTTATGAAACCATCGGCTTATGATTTAAACAAAAAAGTGGTGTAGAATTTTTATTTTGAATGATAATATTGTGGTTTCACGCCTCGTCTCATAAGATGAAGTGCTAACTTCATTGCTTCAAATATTGGAACAATGAAATTAACTTATTGGGTACTTCGTTTCGTTCAAGATGAAACAATCAGGGAACATTATAACCTGTTGCTTACTTGCGTGTTTACTTTTTAGATGATCATGGTTACCACTATGCAACCATGAGTAAACAACAACAACACCTTTTATGATAGTTTCGACCAAATTACCACTCCGGAGTGTTTTATTTTTGAGGATTACAATTTAGTCAAAGGGACCACGGAATGAGAAAGTTTACTTGACAAATGTCAGAAATGATTCTGAATACCCCATTGATACTCTTATAATTATTTTTAGGTAAGTATTTCTAGTCAGTGCCTGTTTTCAGTTAACGTGGTTCACGTAGAGAAAGGATACAGAAAACCATCAACGTACCATTTTCTGAATGTTTTTTTAGCATGTGCATTAGAAGAAGATGAAAAAGAAGACGATATTCTTCCAACAATAAGAAAATATAGAGGGCAGCTACAGAATGGATTGCAACAAAACGGTTATGATGGAGAAATGTTACCAGCTGCTTCGGACATGCAAACGTTGGTTAGTTAACGTAATACTTCTTTAGCCCGGTTTCGTAAGCAACGTTACGGCAAGAACAGGACCAAAGGCGTTTTGAATACTCTTCAGTTCAAGTGATTTTCATTTTGTTCACGTCAAAGCCAGGATAGAAGTACAATACAACGAAACAAAACAAATTCAGACTTGGAGTTGCGAACTGGAAGCAAGCTAGAATTGCCTTGACCAGTGGTGAACAGTGTCTACAAGGTGATCATGTCGCGGATTTCGAAAACGCATTAAAAGATAAAGCAGGAATCTTCCAGGGGTAAGTATCTGCCGCAGACTTTCTACAGTTTGAGGATTCTATACACTAACGCTGAAGAAAATGAGGAAAGAAGAAGTTAGAGCTTACCATTCTTGCTGTGAGTTTGTGTTTATGTAAAAAATCAGCCATCACGCCGCATTTCACAATTACATTGTATATGAAGGTTCGACATACTTTGAAGCGGTCTGGTGTCAGTGGTATCGACGCTTCGTTGCCGTTGTTACATGATAAAATAAGCATTTGTGCAGCCTCATTTTCGATGCTATCTTACCAGGTGGTAACCGCGCATCGGTGCAGCGGTCACTTGTTAAAATGAGGCTGTATTGATGAATCACTACTCACAACCAGCAGCAATAAAAGCGGTAACACTAGTATTACCAGTAACACCAGTAACATGAGTAATACTAGCAGCACGGGTAATACTGGCAATGTATGGTCAAAGAAGCCTCTCCATGTAGGATCGGTGATTTTGAGAAAAGGAAATCTTTTTCGCAGAAGAATAAATGCAAATCTGAAATATTTATTAAGAACTTATCACGCTTGGGTGCTATCGGACAAAGACCACCGTGAACTACATCTGAAAGCAAAAATCTCTTAGCTTTTTTATTAGGGAAGGATATTTACATAGGTTGGCGATTGAAGACCTGATGTATATCACTAGACGCGTCACTGAACGCTGAATCCAAATCGCTTTCCTTTTCTGCAGAACAGCTCTCCGAAAGAAGTTATGAGCGTTTGCATGTCCAAACCTGTCGTGTTCTAGGTGACATAAAATCAGCGAAAAGCTCTAGAAAAATACCTGAAAGTGGGTAATCGATTTTATGTCAAGTGTATTGACTACAAGGGAGGAACACACTTAATGGGAATCTGCATAGGAGATTTTGAAGAGATTTTTGCTGATTTTATGCCAGTTAGAGCATGACAAATTTGAACGTGCAAACAAATTCATTAATTCTCCCGGAAAGTTGTTCCGCAGAAAAGGAACGGATTTGGAATCAGCGTTCAAAGGACGTTTAGTGATATACAACTTGTTGCCATTCGTCAACTTATTTTTGCGAATGATAACAAGAATAACAACTCCTTCCCTTGTTAGATATAAACCTGAGAAATCGACGATTTAGTCCTTTTTGGAGCCGTATTCGCACAAAAATTACTTTTCAATCACTTTTTGGGCTAAAATGGCTAGTTCGCACTTGTATATGTGATCCAAATTTATGATTTTGCGAAAAGCCTAGATTGCGCCTCACTTTTGAAGGCTAAAGCCGCGTAGACTCGTTCGGTGCTCAATTTTGAAGGATCCGCGTATCGAACTAGCTTCTCCTCGAGCATGGTAATTACATGTTGATATCTTATTCCACATTCAAGATTTTGGAAGACGTTTTTACCTTGGAAATACAACTTTAACAAAGGATTGAAGAGCGCATCGAATACATGTTCGAGCGATTTGGCACTGTTGATTGGGACTTCATAACCGTTCAAAATCCGAACAAGACTTTCGGAACAACCTAGTGCTAGGAAGGCAAAGTTCTTAGCGCTTATAAAAGCTATTACTTTGACGCAAGGCCGAATTATCAATGCAAATGTTGCTCTCTGTAGATCCCCTTAGTATGTACAAAGCGCGACAGTTTTTAGCTGGTTCTAATGACAAAGAGTAATTCGCAACCGAAGTAATTAGATACGTGTTTTTGCAAAACACTTCAGGGAACGGAGAAAAATTACTGCTAATGCTGAATGTGCACGCTAAATTTCTTCACCTTCACATGTTTTCAGGGAATACGTGGACAGTGGACAGCACTGAAAAACCAAAAACCATCACCGAAGTACTGGCTTCGTTTTTGAACAACATAAACAATGAACCACACACAGATGTCAGCAACGGGATCAAGTACAGTGGAGAACCGAATTTGGGAGAATATGCTAATGTGAGTTCAGCAACTACGATCAGGGTTAGGACGAAGGACTCAACCGAAAATTTCTGTTTGCAGCTCGTAAGGGCGAATACGACCGAGATAGGCTGCTGGAAAACAGAATTCCAGATGCAGACAGTGGCTATGTGTATTTTTCTGTGTACCGTATCACCAACTCGCCGTAAGTTTATTCTGTTTGATGATTACAATGTTTGGTCTAAATGCAAACTACTTGGCTGCTTTACTTGAAGCGAGCTATTAACTCGAAGTCCGTAAATGTGAGAAGAAATAAGTATGGTATGTATAGTATGCTCAATGGCTGACGATCCTGTTTGGTTTCAAATGACTTTTGAGTTTGAGGAGTTATACAACAACAAAAAATGAATTTATAATATTAGGTTGTCCGGAAAATAATGTCGCATGGCATCCTATCGCCACAGAATGATCATAAAAAATAGCGAATGGGGTATCATTTGATAGAGCAAAGAAACCCCTATAAGATAGTACACAAAACTATGCGGAAATCGTGCTCCACCTGAAGTTCGAATCCAAAATGTAAAAATTTTCAGATATCCGAAAACAGGGCCGGCACGAGGTCGGCAAATGACAAGCTGGAAATCGTTCTGGCGCCAAAAAGCAAAGGGGAAATCGTTTTTGCGCGGTCCGGGGCAGAGCCCCGGAAAAAAATTGGTAGTTCATGCTCGCTACTTATCTTGACATGTTATGTGCCTCAACAGGCGAACACTGGAGTTCGCGCGCGTCAAACCGCGCCTTCGCTAAGTGCCGCACGCGCGACGTCGCCCAAGCGATGTTATTTGTAACTGCATACATGACTAGTTCTCAATGTGTGTGTAACGATATGGCACCAAATTTTGTGTACGAACGGACAGAGGCTAGTGGAAACATAGTATGAAAAATTATGAAAAACTTATGTGAACGGAACGAGTAATTAGCATTTTTTCCGAGAATTTCGCAAAACCGATAAATGAAAATGTGAATATAAACGGCTCGTTTGGAAAGCGCAGATGAACGATATGGTATGAAACTTGGTAAGTACATGCATACGGGCTTGCAGGACTTAACTGAGGAGTTTCATTGAGAAATTATGTGACTGAAGGTTGTGGCAAACTTTTTTCTGGAAATTTTGCGCTACCAAAGAAATGGAAAAATGGCTCGTTTGCAACGCAGAGGTAACGAAATCGCGCGGGCTTCGGTGTGTATATGCGCAATAGGACTAAGTAATAAAGTATGAAATATTATGAAAAACTTACGTGAATGAAGAGTTTCCTTAACTTATTTCCAAATTAGGTCGGCATTTGCCGACCTAATTCCCACCTGAGGTCGGCAAAACTCTCATTTCACATAATTTTCTCAAAATTTTTACGTAAATCTGTTGTACACCTAAAGTTTACTACATGGTGAAATTTTGGTTCCGAAACTCCTCCTCTTGTCCTTGTTGGAGCCCAAAATGGCATCAGCAGCCCAGCTTTCTAAGATAGAAAGCGCGCCCCAGTCAATCGATACGCGCGGGAACGGCGTCTCTCATTCCTATGACTGCGTTTCTTTGATATTTTCTCATTCCCTAATCCTTTTTACTGCTTATTTTTCTTCCTGTTTCCTATCTTGGTACAGCAATTTGAGTAATATAAGGAATTTGAGCAATTCGGGCGCTTTTGAGCGCTTTTAGGCGAAGTATGGCCGGTAATCTCGTCGCACAAGCACAAAACGTCATTTTTGGGCTCAAGAAAGTATTCGTAAAACTTACTGGGATCAAAGGGGTATTCGTTTTGGAAAACCCGTTTGCCCACCTTGTGCCGGGCCCTGTCCGAAAAATCGTATCGGTTCATAGACGTCCTATGGATCTCCAATTTGCACAGGCATGTACTCTCTACACTAGTTCACCTGCATAGTTTGTGGTATTTTTCCTTGGCTACAGTACGAGAAATAAAAATAGGTCAAAAGTGCGAATATGTCGCGTTTTTTGGGTTTTTGCAAACAATTTGGTTTTTCTCGAGAACTAGCGCTTGTCTAAATCTGAAAATTCATGGTTATACTCCTGAAGGTTCATGCTACAGAATCACCCATGTAAGAGAAGCTCAAGATTGTTTTGGCAAAAATGTGCCGAATTTCGTTCTCTCAATTTTCAGCCATGGAAAAACCTCGAAAATGTGCATACGTATGTCTCCTATAGTGAGTCCACGCGTGAGCAAGTTAGGGGTTCTCAGGGCGTTTCCAAACAGAGATACGATTTTTTTTCGTTTTTTAGATCTTTAGTGCCTTGTGAAATTTGGCTCCAAACTCCACGCAAATCAAACCTGACGCAAAGGCTCGAGCTTCATTTTGTAGAGCTTGTTTTGATCTATCGGTTCATACCCCCATTTACTTACATTCGTGCTGACCCCACGATTTTGCATGTTAAAATAAAAAGCGACATTATTTTCCGGACAACCTAATAATAATGAAATAATGAAAGGATTTTATATATGTGGTGAAAGAGATTTGTTATGGAGTTTTGAAACACTGAGAAAAGTCAAGAGGTGTTTTTCTAAAAGTGTGTGATAAAAAATATGCTGGCGTTCTGCACTGGCGCTTTGCTGGCGCTTCTCAACACTAGCATTTCGACGGGTGGGGGACTATATGTCGCCGAAAAAGGGCGGTCCCCGCGGTCATTTGCGACAAATACGCGCCATTGTACACTCAGGGATTCGCGCCGTGCGGGCGGTCCTCTTACAAGGGCTAGCGTACAAGCGGTCGACATGAGCCTAAAGCTTCCGTGCGTGCGGTAAACAACCGAAGCGCCGTCCAAGCGGCAGACAATGTTACCGTGCAAACGGCCGGCAATACATTTGCTCGAGCAAGCGGCCAGCAATGTGTCTGTCTTATCGGCCGGCAATAACCGTTGCCGTGTAAGCGGCCAACAGTGACCTCCATCTTCTTCTCACAATTTTCAACATTGTGAGCGTGAACTGTACCTGCGTGAGATACGACGCAGTGCTTAGGCTGCCCAAAGCATTGACATGCCCTATTATCAACATTTACTTCACCAGCAAGGCTGGAAAGAACCCGTGTGAAGCTATGAGCGGCTCCACAACT